CACTCTTTTCTACATAGGAAGTCAATTCATAAGTATACCTTTGTAGAGCAAGAGAAAGGCCTGACATGAAAACCATAGAAACAAATGGCAATTTCACTCTCTGTCCTGAAGTCTCCAAGGAATGCTGATCCACCTAAGCAATGTAGTGGTAGCCGAGATCACACCCTCAATATACCCCTGAACAACCACTATCACTCTATTGGCCATGAGAAAGTGACAAAATCCTGGTCCATTGACTGAATCCTTACCTCTTATTTGTAAAGGCCTTAACACATAAGCTGGTTCATTCATCTTTGAAATCCCCAAAGCTGTTTATCCCTAACACTATAGCGCAAAGCACCAAAACATCATAGCACTACACTACTTAAATAGGCTAGTGTAACTTTTGTAGTTACAAAGTACTGACCTACCATTTCACCTTCAGAATACAAAATGTTCCTTTCCTAATTAGTGACTTGAGAAAGAAATATTTTAGTCACCAGGAGTATAAAAATACTCTGTATACTTCTGTTCTCAAATGCGTGGGTTTTGTACAATGGCCTCTTGACATTAACTAGAATCTAGAGCCCAAATACTCAGTGGAAATCCCTCCCAGCGTAGCAATTAGTATCATTCATTTATTTGACCTACATTCTAAATGTGTCTAGACAGAATTCACCACCAATAGTTTTGGGGGATGGGAGTGGAGAGGTGGGTTGGTTTCTTTGGCAGAAAAAAAAAAAAAGAAGAAAAGTTTTTAGATTAATTTTCAGCTCTACATTAAAAAAAAATAAGAATACATTTTATATTGTTACATAGAGAGATATGGAAGAGGTCCCCTGACAGTATAAATCAGACCTGCAGCCTCCAAAAGTGGTAAGTAGAAGCAAGCTGCATTGTATCAGCTGGGATCTGGCCTAAGAACCTCAACCTAATCCATTATTAGTCTGTGCTGCTGAAAACTATTGAATGGTACAGATAAAATAAGAGAAACGCAGCAAAGAACTATAAATAGCCTGGAGAAAAAAAGAAAAAAGCCCACAACATTATCTACACACTGGTAACAAGGTTAGAACTGTCACATGCTCTCCGCTGCATACTTTATATATATATACATATATATATATAATATGCCCTACATTCTATCATAGTCTACCCTCCTAGAAGCAAAGACCCAACAGATTCAGACATACTTTAGTAGGCCAAAAGGTAAGTTTACTTTTGTGTATAAAATTGTGCTGATAAGCAGCATAATGTTACGGCCAAAGACTCTAAGGATCAATTAAAAGTCCTCTACTGGAAACAGAAATTAAATAGGACATAAGCCCTTTGCCTACCCTGTCTATGCACACACATTATTTTACAGCACCAAGTCAGTGATTATGGAAAAAGTATACTGGCAGAAGGCTAAGACTTCAATACAGATAAGCTAATTAAAAGGACATCCTCCCTGAATACACCTTATTACTGCTTCCCTCTGCCCTTAACACGAAGCACATACATCTGCCTCTCCATGTTGTTTGTAGCATACCAACACTGGCACTTGGATCCCCCCTGGACTGCTGAGGCTGGCAGTGCGATTGCACAAGGTCTGCCTTCTCTGTCCCCCTGCTAAGAACTTAATACGGGCATCAACTACCTCTGGAAACAGTGAGGTCCTTGTCACGTAACAGCCTGTGGGTAGGTGATGACAGAAGTTTCTTTGGCTCCTAGTATATAGCAGAGGAACCTGTTCTATTAAGGCCCCTGAAGAAAAATGACCACAAACATACCAAAGTAAAGCAAACATTTTCCTTATTATAAAGAAGTCATATTTAATATAATAAATCCCCAAACAATGTGTGTGCTAGGTTAAGAGATTCCCCAAAAGAGTACCTAAGAATAACTTAGAGGATAACAAAAATTAAGATTATAGAATTAGATTATCAAACAGGTAAAAAAAAATTGGTACAGCCATACTGGCTTGGATGAGTTAGTTCAGAGGCCTGACCCAGGCCGTGGCCAGCTTAAAATGCTCCAGATGAAAACATGACTATCTCCCAATGAGATTTCAATTGACATGCCCAAATTAAGCAAACAAAAGGGCAAAGATTTAATGGTGACTAATGCACTAGGTTTTGGAGAGAGGACGTTGTTTGGGCTTTGCAGAATCATCTGTTCTGTAAGTATGGAGAAATAATTCAACTTCAGTTTTAATACAGTGGAGTCAGCTGTATCTGCAATGGGAGGTGATCCATTTAACTGGTAATAGCCATGGGATCAAAGCGGATCAAGACTAGCAACAGCAGTGCTGTGCTCAAGAACCTGGGACCTCTTTTGCAGAAGACTTAACCATTCAGCTGTCCTCAGAGGTGGCAAACCATGGGTGCTTTGAAGAAAAATTAAAAAAGACTGTTTAAAGAATTTTCTAAGCTATGACCTTGCCCACTTACACTGACCAGCCATACAGTAATGGGTCAGTCACAGCTTTCTCCTGCCACTTTGCTGACCTCATGTGGCTAAGCAATGCAGCCATCCCTTGTGCCAGCCACCACTGTTTATTATTTACGTGAAGTCAGGTTGAACAGGACTTTGAGCAACCTGGTCTAGTGGAAGGTGTTCCTGCCTGTGGCAGGGGGTTGGAACTGGATGAGCTTTAAGGTCCCTTCAAGCCCAAACCATTCTATGATTCTAGGGCTTAAATCATTGGGAAAAAAAATACAAAAAATTGTTGGTGCATACTGGAATGATTCAGAGGACCCATTGGGATCACTGTGAAGTGAAAGAGGCTTCAGGGAGGAGACTCAAACATACCAATAAAAAAACACTTGCAAAATAACACTACAACCATATTTCTCCTCTATTTGCCACTAAAGGTAAAATAATCAAAAGGCACTTGCATAGAAGAATAGGGCATTACTTAGAAAGCACGTCTGTATACCAAAACTCATTACTAGCTCATGGAGTCAGGCACATGTTTCACTGTCACTAATCTGAAACATCCTCTTAAAACAGCACAGTGGAGACTGTTCCACAGCCCCCTGCACATTCTATCCATTCATTTTACTGAGTTTTGAGTCTAGCAAATAGGACACTAAGGGAAGAAAGTCTAAGGAAAATGAAGAACAAGAAAGCAGCTGGTGTGGCAGCTACTGTAATAAAATACAAATCCAGTATTTTACAAAATAGAATACATGCAGGAGATATCTACTGTACATGGTAAAAAATTACTTGTAAGGCTAGGTTAGTTTTTCCCTTATTTATCATTAGGAACAAAAAGTAAAAGAGCTTCAAAATTTTTATTTTTTTTTTTTTTTAAATTAGCTGCTTCTTGTAAAATGTCAAGTAGCTATTCTGGCCTGCTGAATTAGGCTTTTCATATTAAATCCATCCTCAGTGGAGTCTGAGCGCCCTTCTGTAGTAACCAGATAAAACCCTGCTCAAATCTTGGGGTAGGTTCCACTGCACCACTGCAAGGGTGAATTGCAAGAAGCGCAGCTTGAGCAAAGACATGACCACAGACTGAGAGAGGAAGAACCCTTAAAGGCAACAGCTAAATGGGACAAGGAAGAAAGCAAGCAGGAAGAAGAGTACTGGACCAGGATGGATCTGAATACTGCTCTTGGCATTTCCACTGAACTTGGACCAGTGCCCTCTCATCCCTCTTTTGCCTTGTCTCTTGCCTACACACTCAACTCCCCAGATCAAAGGCTGTCTTGCTGTACAGTTGATACATTATCTACTACATCCAGGTCTCAACTGTGCCTAGCTGGAGCTACTTGTACCTAGCTGGAGCTACCTCTACCCCTATCTTTTTGGCTAAGCAACTAGTCTGAGATCACATTTCTAGAGAAGGAGATAAGAGGAAGATAAGAGACGGCTTTATTATAGGACAACTCGAGTGTGTGGGGAGGGAATGGGTGTTCAGTGATACTTGTGTGTCCAATTTCAGTTCACCCAGACCACTTGAAGGGTTAGGGAAGCTCCGTTCTCTTCATTGCAACTGCCTGAGCAAAATCTTGCAAAGCTAATAAATACTATTTACAACAGTAACAGGAAGATGGCAAGGAAAGGAAACACAGGATGATCTGAGACCAGGTCTACGTAAGAAATCCCATCAACGTATTTAGAAGCCAATAAATTAAATCCATATGGTCCTCTTAGGAGGCACTTCTGGTTTCAGCCTTACATTGATTTAGTTTCTTGGGAAGGAACTGATTTAAGATAAACAGATTATCCTTAAGCAGACTAAAGGACATCCACCCAAAATATTGCATAAATTTAACAAAACCTGCTTTCTAAACAGATTTAGTTAAAATAGTGTAATTCTCCCACACAAAGTGTGACAAGACAGCAACTGATCTTTGCTTAAATTCCATAAGGGTAGAAGCGATAAGGAAACATACCAAGTCTGCTTTTGATCCAGAGAGAAACCCACCCCACTAAATGATAAAGAAGCTGAAGGAGAGAAGAGAAAGAGCTAGGGGAGGACAATTCAGCAGTATCACTGTCCATCCCCAGTATCAGGGACCTTCCTTGTCCCTTCAGAAGCAGGCTACATACATGCTTCTCAATCCCCATAAAAGGCTCAAGTGCTGTAGACCAGTAGGCATGGAGCTGTGGCTAGATTCTGAGCAGCATCATGCTCCTCTTTCTCTCAATTACCTTCTCCCAAAAAACCTATCACCCACATGCTCCCATCGGGTTTGCATATTTCACTCTTCTAAAGAATGCCTTTGTGCTCAGATTAGGATGTGTGCATGCACGCGCACACACACACCCACCAGTCACCAGCACGCTGCTGGCTTCATCTGCCATCATCATTCAATCTGCCCTTGCAGTGTTAGACCGGAAAGGAATAAAACCAAATACAGGGACTGTGTGTGAAGTGAGAAAGGGAGTTACAAAGACAAGAGATCCCATCTGCAGTCACAGCCTCACCAGTCAATGTAGAACTTGAACTCCCTCTCTTTTGTGCTTTGGTTCACTGAGGATGACAAGTCAGGGGGACTTTGGCTGAAAATATGTGGGAAAAAGGGAAGTCTAGAAAAAAGGCCTTTTTTATTTTTAAGCGGTGGCATTGACTCTTCTATCTATTTCAATTATCTTCAGTGTTTCATTTCCTTCTAGTTCGGAGTTGACTCTGCAGGGAACAAAAAACCAAAACAAAAAAAGTTAACACTAATAGTGATTTTTAAAAGCGCATATGCTGCCTGAATTGGAGAATGCTAAAAAGGCACCCAGTATTTACCAAGTACTTGTCAGTTGGAGTATGGTAACACACTGAATTAGTCACCTTTCTGGCTCTAGGTATAACTTTGACACAAGTACTCAGAAGTTATGCTTGGGGTGATATGGCTCATCCTAGCCCTCAGAATAGCATGCCTTGAAACAGAATCCTTCACTCTTTGGTGTGCTCGCTACTGCTTGTTCACAGAGGCCAAGGCCAACAGGGCAGTGGCAGGATAGGGGAATGTACAGTGGAAAGAAAATGCACACAAATATTTAAATTAGTGAATCTCTGTCTTTTCAGAGGCCCCAAAAACTTAAATTTATGCTAAAAAGAAAAAAAAATTATGAAGGAACTCTGTGTTAAGTAGTTCAGATATCTTTACAGGTCTGTTTAGACAGAGTCCTGCAAACTTTCCTCAGTAATGCTTTAGAAAGATCACTGCTGTGAGAAGCTCCAACTCTTCACACCCTAACCTCATAGAAAGCCCAGTGAGTCACAGCCTCACACTTCTACCCAACCGGCAAAAGCTTATTCCTTTAGGAGACACAGAGCTAAGTGCTTAAAGTGGGTAAGTGCAACTAACAGGCTTACAGGGGTTAGGTTTCTGGCAGAAGAACAGAGTTTGGTAGCTGTATTACTACAATACTGTTGCAATCACTTTTCCAGATAACAGTAACTTTTTAAATAAGCTCTCCAGATAGAGACCAAACTCCTTATTTCACAGTGCCCAGCATTGCTGAGCCCCAGCCTTACTACTGACCTCCAGGCACAAATGACAGTGATATTGAACACTTGTGTGACAAGCAGCCCACCACCCTGTACTCACCTATGCTGCTGCAGGCCCAGCAGCACTGATTTCTCTAGCCTCGTCTCGTTGGCTATTGTGAACTGCATGATATCATCCTGCTGTGTTCCCGGCATGGCTTCCAGGGACAGCGCTGTGTACTTGGAGGTATCTGCTTGCCTGTCATTGCGATCTGCAAAGGAGATCGGGCTTGACGACTCCTCCAGCTGGTGAGGCTCTTCATAAATTAGCAGACTCCTTGACCTCACTGCATATAAAGACAGGAAGCAAAATCTGATTAGAAACAGGCAGCTTAGAGAACAAGCCTGGTCATTTCAGAAAATTCCAGAGCAGAACTAAAGCTGCAAGTTCTCTTCTCTTCATAGTGATTAACTGGTAATTTGACAGCTCATAAAAGATAGATACCACAGCAATGGTCCAGGTAGGGATCAAAAAGCTCTGAACTATTCACAAAACAAGAACAAAATGAAACAATTGCTTTGATAATATATACTGAAAACAACTGGTTCATTACGGATAAGTAATACTAAGAATTTCCCACTCAGTCCTCATACTCTTTGTTGACATCAGCAAAGGAATGCCAGCTGATATCAGCTGCATATTTTAACAGCGTAAATATTTGCTACCAAGTAGAAATCCTGCTACCTTTTACACACTACTAGCTTCAGTTCCACAAATAGAAACAAAACTGCTTTACACAGAATTACCAAGCAGGCTAGTGGGCTTTGCCTGTGTTTGAAGTCTGCTGCCCCAGCACAGCTTGCCAAACTATCCTTCTTTGAAAAACACAGATACAACAAATTAATGAGCAGAAAAGGAAGAGGTGCTTGAGAAGGGAGTTAGGGATGGGGGTGGAAAACAAGTGCCAAAACACAACCGAGAAAGAAGCAAAACTGGGATAGTTGTCACTTACCAATGGAGTCTGTGTAGGACTCTGGTGAAGAATGCTGCCTGGGCAAAACCATCTTCGTGGCAGAAGGATATGGCCCATAGCTCTGAGAGAAGCTGCCAAAAACTACTGCAAAGCACAGCACCACCATCTGGCAAAGGCAGAATGCAGAAGAGGTAAGTGCACTAGCTCCTGACCCACATGCGAACATCAAAACTAAAAATTAACACAACACAGATCTGACACTTTTCCAAAACAAATAATTTGAGGCTATTTTCATTACTACATTCAGTGTCTGCTAGCAAAGGTACATATACAATAACAATTCAGTGTTTCAAAGGGCAGATTTCAACATCGGAGTTTGCTTTCAATGTCTGCCACCATTTCAGCCTGTCGCCTTATTTACTCCTGAAGTTGAAAAGCACAAACAGCCACCATGTATGTTTTACAGATACTGTCAGGAATTTCCAAGGTTATTCCTGCCACTGGCTTGAGTCTTGCTTAAAAGTGACAGAGAGGCTACATGACTAGAAAAATAACTTCCATCAATTTATAGCATTAGTATAAATGGAACTTGCTGGCTGAGTGTCAGGAGAGAAAAGAGGAAAGTTTCATTCTAAGAGTTTTCCTGTCCTGACTACTATTACAGCTTTGGTCGTATTTTTATTTGGACTATCAAATTTTCCTTATGTTTATTTTTACTGGTATCAAAAGAACCAAGCATCATAGGTCACCCTTCTTTTCATTTTACAACCCTAGACATTTCTAGCATTACAATATTGTAGGAAATTATAAAACAGGTCACTCAGAGCAGCAGTGCTTCTTTCATCACTGCAGCACCTAACCAAAAGCACAGGTTCACTCTCCTCCACAACTATTAATCTTCATCAGCCAGGAGTCTCCCCTACCTTAAAATTAATTGTCAAGTTATGAAGAGAAGTTTTCCAAACTGAGAATTTGCAAGTGAGGGGCTTTGCAGAAGAAGGGATGTGACTCTGAGCAGTGTAATGAAATTCTCATTCCCCCCCAATTCCCAGCTTTAATGAAACTCACCATAAGACAGGTCCCTGTCTGTGTGCTAGCTGCCTTGTATGAACGGGACACCTTCCCGGCAACCATGGCTTGAAGTCTCTGCAACTGCTGCAGAAGTGTTCTGGAAAGCAAAGACAACAGACAAGCATCACACACACTGGTCTACTTGCTGGTTAAATAGCTTTTTGCTTCACATTCCACACCTGTGGAATAATACAGCATGTATGATAAGGTACAGATAGTTAAAGCCCTCTCCTGGAAGTAAGTAGCAAGGAATATTTTTATTTTTACAAAGTTTTTACACGTAGTAACACTGGGATTTTCAAAAAGATCTTTCAGCTTTCCCCCATCTGACATCCCTGAACAATTACTACTTTAGCACTGTCAGAAAGCTCTCATAAATAAAAACTGTGTTTTCAGTGTTTCTACAGGAAATTATTCTGGTAAGCACACGAACAACTGAAGCTGCTCTTCATGCAAGTGACTAGATGCACAGACAACCCGATTCTATGTCATGAACTCAGCAGGAGTTTCGCCATTATTTAGAAAGATTCACAAGCAAGTTTATGACTGCGTCAATTGGTGGTAGAGTACATGGCTACCTCATTTTTCTGAACACCTGATGCACAGGGGTCTACATGCTGGACCATTTTCAAAGGGAAGGTCTTAAAGCCAGGCATAGGCACAGACTCCATTTTTCAAATTCTTTTATAAATAAAGCACTTTATTGCTATTTCCTAAATCCTTCAGTAGTTGACAAAAATCACGGATGCTTCAAGTGGCCACTTTGACTGTGTCTTTCAGAGGTCCCAACCACAATGACAATTCTCTTGTGGTTGGCATCAACAGTCCTAGACCAGGAGGATATTCTTCTGTCTTTCTGGCTGATTTTCTTCTGCTGTATCATCAATTACTATAGTCAGGATACTAGTCATTTAAGTGGGAAATGATGTCAAAGTGTGATTGATATACAGTTTTCACAGCAGTTTTCATTAAAGCTTTTTAACAGATGAGGAGTAACCTAAATGCCTGGCCTCAACAGAAATATAGTACAGTTTTGTACCAATGTTACATTTGCTGTTTGTTTCCAACTTTACTTTTCACTCCTACTGTAGTCTCACATCTATTGCAGAGGATAACCCCCACAAAACTCCAGACAATGGGTTTGGAGGCTGTGACGTCAAATGCTAAAGCAAGAGGCAAGGTCAGGATGTCACAGAAAATAGAAGGATTATTTTAAGATCAAACTGGCTAAAAGCTAATTGTAGGACAGACCCAGAGGTGCCTTCACAGCTCAATATACACTGGTCTGCCTATTATAGGTTTTTTTTTTATCATCAATGCTCACTGCTAATTAGGGTTTAATGAATTCAAGGACTTCAGGAATACATTCTGAAATGAGCACAAGGCATGCTCACAGCACACATTTATCTGGGCCAGCAGATCCTTCTCAGTTTATTAAGGAAGGATGTCTTTCACGCTCTTGAGAGGATGGTTTATTCTGCAACTCAGTATTTAAAAACAGAAAGTGATTCATCTAATTCAGTCCTTTATTCACTATTAGGGAGACCACAGGCAAATTAAGAGATGAAAACACTGTCCATCATGTAAATGAGACCATCCTAATTCCCTGCTCTCTTCTGTATCTCTCCCCAATTCCTTCTATTATCCACTACAAAGCATGGGGTTCAGAGAGACTTCCGTACATGGCATATATCATTTTCTGGCACAGAATATGCTGCATACACTATTCGCACCATATGTCACCAGCTATGCTACAGAGTAATGCCTTTTTAACCCCACAATTTCTGTGCTGTTTTAGAAGACTAAATCTTGCCCCCATTTCAGGCCTGACTCATTGGGCTCAACATGGAACAGCTCTGCAGAGTGAGGAGGAAAGAGCACTCCTCCTCCCCAGCTCGGGGGCTGGCAGCAGCCTTGAAATGCTGATGCTTCTTGCCACTTTTTGTGGAGGCGTCAGTGAGAAAACAGCTAATGGCTGGTGAGGAAACGAACAGAGAAGAGGCAATTCTCCTCGTTTTCCTCACCTCTGCCTTTTTGTGCCCAATTTAAAAACCTGCTGGGCAGACTGGGCCCAGAAAGCCGATTCCAAAAGACTCACTTTTTGGAAAGCATAATTAGGCAGGTATTTTGAGGTGTCCTATACAGAGAGGAAGATTCATCCTCTACCTATGTACCAACTATCTTCATATAAAATGTCTTTCTCTCCCAAGTCATTTATCTGTTAGAGAGCTACTGTCTTCTCAACAGACAAGGACACTGTGTTGGGAGCTGACAGGCTACAGGTTAATTTTCAAACTGAGAAAGAACCAAGGCAAGAGCAAGAAACAAGTTTGTTTGTTCAGAGATGATACCAGTTTACGTTGCCACTCCTTGGTGCTTTTATTCTCTATTTGAATCTGGAATGGTGGAAGACTGGATTCTGAGGTCAAAAGACCTCCTTTCTCATGCAAAAGCTGCCTTCATTGTTACTGGATAGCTGCAAGAACTATTTGAACTAAGACAGGGGAAGAGAACAGCTCTCTGCTCTGTAGAACAGGGATTTATGTTAAACTCAGATGCTTCTAAATAGCAGCAGGAAGGCCACTAGTGCTTTCAGTGAAACACACTGCCTGTGGCTAAGTTCTACCAGGAGAAAATGCAATCCCAAGGCAACGTGTATAAGGGGCTTTGCACCCACTAGGATTATTTTCACTGTGTCTGACACATTTCTCAGTGATATTCAATTAGAGGGTCACCTCGGTAGGAGGTGTGAACTTGCTTTCACGCTTTTCTCTGCCAATGGAAGCACCTCATAGGAAAGCTGTAAAGTGACTGAAGACCCCTGCTCTCCCTTCCACACCCTGCCAGTAAATTCACTCTGCCTGTGATGTCTTGTTTTTATGTGCACATTGACATATTCATCTTCAGAAGAGCCCCTTTCACTGCCAAAGCAAGGAACAAGTCAAGGCTTCTCCTTTGCTTCCAGTGACACTTTGATTAAGGAGAGAAAATTTGTCAGTACACGACATGGCAACCTGGGACATGACTTTCTTAAGTCAGTGTCTAAAATCCAACATCAGTTTAAACAAACAAAACCACAGACAGACAGCTGCTAGAGGACACCAAACACTACTTATTTTGATTAAGATTTTTCAGAGAATGCATCTACTTTGTGAGAAACAAAACCTGATTTTCATAAGGGGAGAGAAAAATTATTCTGTCTTCCAACTTTACACATAGATTCCTATTCTGCCTGTCCTATTTTGTAGGAAAGAGAGCAAATCCCAAAGTAAGGTTTTCACTGAAAGACCAGAATACTTCAAAGCAGAAAAAAAAAAAAAAACACCACAATTTTTCCTTATCTGAATTACAGAAAAAAAAAATAAAAATAAAAAAATCGGCAATTTCCCATCAAAGATGTTTCAGCATAAAAACCCATGATCCTGCTGCTTTGAAAACCAGAAGTTGCTCCAGGGCTGCCATGCTTTGTCAACTGCTATAAGAGTGGTCTGAAATGAAGTGCAAGAGATCCCATTGCAACTTAAATCCAGATCCTTCACTCCCTGAAAATAACTTGGTAAAATGACTTTACCAGCCTCAAATAAAGGAACAGCCAAACAAATCAGTGAAATCAGTGAAGTCTGGCAGTTTTGGTGCTGATAAGCCTTTAGTGGGTCAGACGATTTGATCTTTAGATAACTGAGAGTTATAACAATAGCTTGAACAGAAGCATGAGAAATGGATGAACATCCCAATTGTATTTATAAAGCCATTGCCTTTAAGGTGCCTATCAGAGTGGTGATCTAAACAATTTGCTAGAGATTACTCCACTGGAACAACTTTAGCAGCTACTTGCATGCACTGTCCATGTGTGACACTCACCCATATGCCAATTGGATCCTGTATCTATCATTTCTCAAGGAAAAGCGATCATCAATATATTTATAAATACAGATTCAACAGAACTGAAAATGCAGAAATACTTCTCATATGTCATACACAGTACCAGATGTTTCAATACTGCCTTTAAACCCAAATTCCCATAGCTCCCAGCTAGACAACACTGGCGCCAGAGACCACATTCAACCCCCTAGATCACTGGCAGTTTCTGCCTTTAGGCCCAGCGCCAAAACATGAGTGGATCAAGCCTTCTTGGGGACTGGGACAAGTCAGTTAAACTCTTGGTGCTAGCTTCTTCTCACACCCTTTGCTTTCTAAGACAGGGGTGCCCCACGTGTTTAGATGCTACTCTGAATCAATGAGAGACTGGCTCACTTGTGGCTACAAGACGTAACAGATAAGCATGTAACAATGTGCTTCCTTAGTTTTGAGAAAACTGCCTAGAAAGGAACTTGGATGAGTTTCTTTTAAGGGACTGAGTCACATAAATTAGGAGAGGAAACATATGCTAGTGTTCTAATACTAAGGATGCCAAAAATGCTGCAGTCACCCACTCAAGAGTAATGAGAATTAAAAACTCCCCTGCATCTTGATCTCCAGCCTCCTGCTTTGCCTTTTAAGATGCATGAATATCAAGGGAGGTGTTTCTGGATACAAATTTTTTGACCACACTTGCACCTTTTACAATACATCTTTTCAGAGCCAGAATTTCAGGCTAAGGCAGGCTCTGAGGGAAGATTGTTCTAATTTTTTTCATATTACTGATAACAATGTAGGAACTTTTTGACAGAAATTCTACTGTTTCCATGGTTAGGAGCCAGATTTTGAAACGTAAGCAGGGTTTCCCTGAAGTCTTAGGTATGTACCTGTGAAAACGTGTTCTATATATAGAATAACATGCTCTAAAAACTGATTGCATATACTGAAAGGAAATTCTGCCCTTCAATCATTTTATGTTTTGGAAATTACGCCTCAGTTCATCTTAACTCCAGCCAGACTATAAGAACATGAAACTGACTTACAGCACATACACATGCATGACTTTTCAGATACCCAGCTATAACCCAATTTTCTAACAAGGTAAAAAAACCCAACTTTGCCTTCATCTACGCTTGAATGCATGAACTCTTCTTTTCCTGTTGCCTTTCTTCCACTATTGCAATTTTTTGCAACAAAATAACAGCTCTAATGTTTGTAGATCTACTTTTAGATAATACCTTCAATGACCTCTTAATTTTTTGCTGCACTGAACACTAAACTGTTGCAGCTAAAGTCAATTGGGGCTGCGCTTTGAGCATATCAAATAACATACATGTGTGTATGACTACATGCCAGGTACACTGAGAAATAAACATATAAATTTGGGCATGCAAGAATAAATCAATACTGCATAATTTTGACCCTCACTGCTTTGAACTTTGATTCCTGACTGTACATAGGAGATGCAAGTACCAGTTATAGGATGCTGTGAAGACAAGTTCTGAAATATTTGAACAGTTTCTGGATGCCCCATCAAGCCTCTGTGCAAATACTAATAAGGAAACCGGGCGTTTTGAATTCACCATAGGAAGTGGATAACATATGTTAAACAAGGGCCTGGAACCATTCTCTGAATTATACAGTTGCACAATTATACACTGAATAAGAGAAGTGGCTCTGGGGTTAACCTGAAAAAAAAAAAAACATAAAGTGATATGTTACATAATGTAGGCTTGGTGAAATTTCACCAAATTTCTCAGTACTTCAATTTGAAGCCTTAACAGATTTTAGAGACAATTTCTATCTAAAGAGCCAAAATAACATCGCCATCAGTTATAAGAATTTCTGTGCAGAGGGTCAGGAAGATCTGCTTCTCTGCAGGAGATTACAAATCAGTATCAATGCTATTGCAGAGGCAACAGGACAATGCAAACCATCCCACATGCCCTAAGGATGAAGAATTTGGAGATAGTGTCACTTCGCTACATATTTGTAGAGTATTTCATGTGAGAGAATTAAGATCATGAAATAATAGAGAAGATACTAAAGGTCCTGTCCAAAAGGATGGACAATACCAAGAAAGCTGTTCTCACAACCACATCCACAACAACTCGGAGATTAAAACAGCTGGCCAAATTCAGATGAACTGGCAAGAACAACTCTAGGCTTCAGCACCTCCTGGGACAGATATTGGGAGATAAAACCCTACTCCACACCTACAGAACAATTCCTGGTTCTTTTATGTAAATCCCTGGAGGAAGATACAAGCAGCACAGAAATGGCTTGGCTCCCTTCAAACAAGCAGCAGATGTCTTTATGCATGAGCAGTGTGTGGGAGACACTCTCCCAGCAAATTTCAGAGCTGCAGGGTCTGGCTCCATGAAATCAGAGATTGGATCCAGAGATTAGAAACAACACATGCCACTCAATTAGCAATACATTGGCTGCAAGACAAGCTCTAGGGCCATTTTCCATGATCATGGATCTTATCTTCAAAACCCAGCCTCCTCCCACACTTCAGTGCCACCATCATGTTCAATGGTAATATTCAACCATCATTACAAATGCCTCTAACTAGAAGGTGCTAACAGTGGGCTTTATCTAGTACCTACTAATTGGAATTTGCCATCATTAGAGAACACAACAAGCGTAAGTCATGACTGACGCTTCACTCTTGGCTGACATCCAATTAAAAGCTCAGCCATTCAAAATTTTCTGCCGTGTGTCCTTTGAGAAAGCCACCACCGAGTTACCCATTTCTTCAGAAATGAAGAAAGGAGTTCATTCTCCTCCTCCAACTGAAAGAAGTTCTGGCATGTGAGTTGGTTAGAAGGGTGAGCAATAATTGAAGTAACATTTAGTAGTCCAGAAAGAATTAATGATGAGTCTTGAGCTTCAGCACTGTAATTTCTGGAAGTGCTATGTTCCAGGTCAAGCTCTCCGGTAAAAGTACTAAATAAAGACTATTTGGAGAGTAGGGCTGCTGTTTTCTGTTTGTTGTGTACCACTAATAATGTTCCCTTGGGCAGTGGAAGAAATCTAAAAGGTTTCTCAAGTGCAACACAGGCTAGGGAAACAATTTAAGACATGACATCAAAACCTCCATCACAGTAATTGGCCTTCCTCATCCTTCTTTGACATTAACCACATCAGATACCACTATTGTTCACATTTCAACTGATCTCCTAAATACCACATTTTCACTTTTCACTGTAATATTATGCTCAAGTTTTGGTTTACACCCTTCATACCTTACCTGTTAGTATTCTCCAGCACTTCAACCTTCTTACGCAGCTCACTATTTTCATTGGAACAGGTCTCAACTCTGGAGACAGCACCAGCAAAGAAAGAGGAACATAAAATCAGTCATTTATTAAAGAGATTGTAAAGCAAACCAAACTTGCTTTCACAGAGAACTCTATGATCTTGCCTATATTTAATGAAAAGTGACACCACCAAACTTAATCATAACCTTTAATCATACTTCATAGTGTAAAAGACATTATTAGCTGTGGAGCACCTGCTTACATTGCTCAACTACATCCAAGTAGGTACAGCTCATTCAGGATGGATCGTAACTACTTTTTGCCCTTTGAAATAGCAACAGCAAACACCCTGCTCTGGCTTTCTCTGTTCATTGGGCCATGGATAGCTACTTTAAAGTCACAGAACATGCTATATTGATGTTGTTAGCTAATATGTTGTGCAAAGGTGTTCCTTGCATTTCATTGCTAAGACAAGGCACCAAGCAATTTGGCAAATACCATGCTTCTGAAATCAGATCCTCAAACTTCAAGTGTATGGAGGCTAAACAAGCCAGGAGACTAATTCCCAACAGAGTGATCATTTCCACACTGCCCCTGGAAACCCCCTAAACTAAAAATTATCATATAGTAAACCAAATAAGAGATCCAAGTTAAACTATGGGACACCTAAAAAGACAAACATGACCACTTGAAATAGCTTCAAAAAGGAAAAACGTGAAGGGAAAAAAGATTTGACATCTGTATGCATAGGGTGGAATTTCACAAGAGTAACTCTGAGGAAGCAAGATTCAGCTATAAAGAGATAAGGAGAAAAAAAGGAAATTACATCAAAGGTATCACCAAAGATGGTAAAAGGGGTTTAACTGATCCATCTGTGGAGACAAATACTAGAGTGCTTGCCTCTTGGAAAAATATTAATTTGGGATATAAATCACTAAATGGGGGTTTGGCTTTTTCTCGCTAAGGGAAGTTGATGGGTCACATGCTGTTTTCCTGAATCCTACTTATTTTCCCAGGCAGACTTGACTCATCCATTTCCTATTCTTGTCTTCACCTGCACTAGAAGACAGAATATATTCACTCAGAATCCACTTTTCTCCGGACACTGCCCACCCACCAGGCCAACAGGGTTGCATGAGGTGGCAGCTGATAGCAAATGGGTCTTGCCTTATTTAATGTTTAAAGTCTTTGTCAGCATGCTAGCAATGTGTTGCAGGTAGACACAGTAATGAATGCAGCACCCCAGCACACGTTCAAGCGGAAAACAGAAGGGCCTTTTCTCAGTCATAACCACGAGATGGCAGCTGGCACTCTGAGCAAGAAACAGTCCCAGCATCAACAGCTGGATCCCTTCCCAGTCCAGCAACTAGTGCTATTGGCCTGCTTAAAACAGGAAGGAGGCTGGCTTACTTTTTTTCCAGACTGTCCATGTATTCTTTCTTTTTTCTTCTACTTTCTTGGGCAGAAATCTAAGGAAAAAGGAAGAAAAATACCAAATATTTGTGTAGAAAAAAAAAAAAAGCATCAGAGATGAATTAATAAACTGGTGAAAAGACCTGATGTCATTAGATTAAAGCCTCTGTGCTGTTCTCATTTCTATTTCTGGCAACCAAAGCACTGACTTGGTCTGTTCCCACATCCTGAAGCTTCTCTCAGTAGCAGGAAAAAGATCAGTCCCTTCTCTCACAGAACCAAACTTAAAAAAGTAAATCAGATTCATCTGGAGAGAATATCCTAGGACAAACACTAAAAGATGATACCAGGACAATGTCCTGCATCTGAGAAAGTAAAGCCCATGCATGTACTAGAAAGCAGCTTTGTAGAAAAATACTTGGGAGTCCTGAAGAACAAGTCAAATGTAAGTCAGCAATGTGCCTCTGTAGCAAAGGCAGCTAACCATATCCAGGTCTACATTAAGTAGCAAGTTGAGAGAAGTGGCTCTTCCCCTCTGTTCAGTTTCTGCAAGACCACAGTTGAGTACAGTGTAGAGTTTTGTGGCTCTGAAATAAATACTTTGGATGTACAGAAACAAGCTCAGAGGAGGACCACTGCTATAATAAGCATGTTGGAGCACATGCCATATCAGGAAAGGCAGAGAAAGCTGGGTTTGTTCAGATTTAAGAATAGAAGGCTAAGAAAGGAATCCTATTGCTGTCTTCAACTGTCTTGCGCAGTAAAAATGATTCAGGCTCTTCTCAGAGGTGTACATTAAATGCAAGCTGCAACCAGGGAAATCCAATTAGTTATTATTTGGTTTTACCACAAGACTGGCCTAATATGGGAACAGGTTGCCCAGAGATGCTGGCAAGGGACTCATCAACCTTTGAGACAGTAAAATGAGACTAGACGAGTCCCTGAGCAACTTGCTCTAAGCTAAGCCTGTTTCCAAAGCAAAGAGCTGGACCAAAGGACCTGCAGAGATGTCCTCCAATATAAATGGCTCTGATTATATGAAAGTGGTAAATAAAATACACAAGCTAACTTCCAAAAATTTTCAAAACTGTATTACAAGACCAAATTCTAATTCAGTGTGGGCAAATTTACACCTTTATCTGCAAAACCAGTAACAGAATGCATTAACTTTAAAATATGTGATAATTTCAACAAGTGAGCTGGCCAGGTTTGAAATAAAATGCTTTCCTCCCTATCAATAGGCACTTCCCCAAGCTGGAAGAAAGAACAGTTGTACAGGGCATTTCACAGCCTTAGTATCAACCGTTTATTTAAAGGTCATGAAATTCAATGATAAAAGACTAGGGCACTGAAATACACAGTCAGATTTTAAAACATGAAACAGTGGAAAAGAACACCTTCATCACCATGGAAAAAATACAGAGGTCTTTGCCTACCATAAGGGTAGGATTGTCCTATTTTTAAAATGGAGCCAAGCAACAGCAACTTGATACCTTGCTTGCTAAATACTCTATTGTTCATGTGCTCAGGTAAATAACTAGACAGAGGCACAGAGTCAGTGACAGACAATGTGATGCATGTGTTTAGGAACAAAGAAAAACACTGTATTAAAAGGCATCTTACAGCATTCAGCAGTACCACAGATCACTGCTGCAGAACTGCTGCAGTTTCTTTTTAAATGAAGAGTAAGTTAGAATGACCCAGCAAAGCTAACTAACATTTACCTTGTTCTTTATTTTCCTGCGGATTTTCTTCAGCACCTTCTCCTCTGCCTTTGTCAGGGGCAGTTTGGTAGGGATTGGGTACCCCTCTGCTATCAGTGTCCTCTTCTCCTCCTCGGTCAGGATGAGTGGACCGGTCCCCTGTAATTTCTGCAAGTGGTATAGAAATGAAATGATGTACCAGTAAGTGCACACAGCCCTAGAGAAAAGGGTGTAAGGGAAGAGAGGCAGCAGCTCTTCCCAATTCAGAAAACTCTGCCTACTAAACCAGCAGCCTCTTGCAATTGTGAATGTGTGGAACTGGAAGACCTTTTAGGTAGCTTCCATTCAGAGACTGAACCTTTGGGACAGGATTGTTCTCAGCCCAGCTCTGCACACATTAAGGCCAAAAGCAAAACTTCTCTTGGCTCAAACATGGAAAGAGACAAATGAAATAATCCTTCCCGGAAAATCACCACTTGCATTCAACAGGACAAGAGGACAGATTCAGATCTACCAGGGACAGGTTAACCTAGAAGGGCTGGGCCCTCATGCGAAACACAATCCATGGTGGGACAAACCTCAAAGCACTCCTGAACCCTGTCTCAACTTAGAAAGAAGCACACTCTGTTCTCTGTGGGAACAAAACAGACCAGTGAGCAAGAATTACTGGCTGTGCAGTTTTGACCAGAGATCTACTCCTCTAGAGAACAACAGAAAGCTAGCAAATCCATGGCAAAACCAGTACTTAAAAAAAGAGAGAAAGAGATAATGGAAAAAGCCAGCCCAACTTACATGTGGTGCAGTCAGGAGAGGGGAATTGGAGAGCGCTGAAGCTGTGCGCGATGTCACTTTAGCCGTGGCTTGCAGCTGGATTGGGCTTGAAGGAGGGAGTGATCTAGCTGGGCTCTGCCCTCCTTCAGAGTCACTACCATGGCTGCTCGGAGGGGTTGGAGGCAAATGCAGGGGATCCACTGCTAAATGGCAAGAGAGACATATAACACAAGGTTTTGAGGTGCTAATTTCAATTTCCACTAGAGCCACAGCCACCATCCAGTTTCCAAGTCTAGGACTGTCTGCTAAAAAGTGGCAAAAGCACTAGCAAGAGTGGCATCTTGGAAGATTTTCAGAGCATGTAGGTCTCCCAAGAAGGAATGAAATGCAGCAGCTATCTTTAGGCTCAACAGACAAAACAGGGCTCTGCACATATGCTCCAGACATTTCTACCTACACTACAGCTTCTTCTCCAAATGCTTTGGAGGTTTAAGCATATCCCTGCAGTAGAGGTCCCTTGTCCCTGGGAAGCTGCATCAACAGAGGGGCCCTGAGCCAGCATACTTTCTCTCCAAAACCAGTAGTCTATCCTAACTTCGCTGTGGATTAAATTAATTGTCAGCATTTTTCAAGAGCAGGGATCTCATCCAAGGTGTTCTATGAACAGGGAGGAGAGAAATCTGCCTCCAAAGGACCTGGTTTGGCACAATTGGAAGGAAGGGATAACCTTGTGACAGCAAGCGTACTAACGGAGCAGGAGCAGCACAGGCAACCAGCACAGGAACCTCTCACACTGTGCTATCCAGGGACATCAAGCTAGCTTCTACTGCACTTGCAGCCAAAAGAACCTATGCTAGAATTGGCAAGCAAAGTGCTGGTTATCTCCAAATGGGTCTGGACCAAGAGAAATGGGGCAGTGTCTCACCCACTCACATGGATAATTTCACAGGTGTTCAAACCAGCCATAACTAAGCAATTTTCTTCTCCAAGATAGATTTACAGCAATGAGACTTGGGAGTAGGAAGATACAGGGATGAATTTGCCACCTTCCACTTCTGTTATACTTTGAAAATTGGAGTTGAAAAGATCAAATGGGCGGTGGGGGAAGAATTAAAAAAAAAAAATAAAAAAAGAAAAGCTATTACACATGAGCTCTTTCTGTCTAGCATCTGAACTCTAGTACTTGTCACAAGATACACACTTGAAAAACAGCAAGGCCCTTAATCCCACAAATTGAGCAATTGAATCTACTCCCTGGGTTGAGATATAGCCTTCCTTTTTTCCACCTGCTACATCACTTGTTTCTCTCCCTAGAGCAGTCATACTTACCTACACAAATGAGTTCATTAACAGAGTATCAAGTATGAGAAGCAGTCATCAGCTCAAATTTCAGCCCAAATATTTGGCTCCTTCAGAATTTTCTTGCGTTAACAAATTATGTGCCACAAAACTGTGTTCAACTTTCAGGGCAGGGATCATTGTCTCTCATTCCTCATTCACAGATTAGTGCAAACGGATCCTAGTAATTCTTAAAAACTCTACTAAAACTAATATGCCACAAAAAGATGCACCTAACTTTAAATTTCCCATGAACTCACATCCTTGATTTTGTATCAGAGGTTAAAGCAGTAGCATTTCCACTTACACTCTTCATGTTTTCTAAGCCCTATTTAAGTCCCCTCAAATTGATCTGCAGCCTAAATAAGTAAGGATAAAGCCTAATTAAGCCTAAATAATTTAAGTATTCAAGCTCCCTCCACAAGAAAAACACATAAATGGGTCAGAAAAGAGTCTGGCTCTTCAACAGCCTGAGTTGAATCCCTAGAAGGCAACAGCTTCAGCCTAAAGATTAACATGGCAAATGAGGAAGCCAAATATTTAATCAGGCCAAAGTACATTTATTATGCATTCTGGTCATCTCCCACTACATTTCAGGTTGATAACTAACAGACCTTCCTTAGAAGAGAGATTCAAGAACTGATCCACTTCATGGGGCTCCAATTTAATCTCTGGAAGAACTTTCTGGCTCAGTGGTTTCATCTAGAAAAAAGAAATTAACAGCATGAAAACCCTAAGCACACATCTTAAAAATCTTAACAGAGGGAGTTGAGGATGACTTCCCCATAAAATGGAGAGGTTCCTTCTGCTCCTGCTCTGCTACAGGCAAAGCTTTAGCTGCTTCACACAGTTTGCTAAACCAGGCTACAGAGAATACTGCCCTGACTACTCCCACTATGGCTTTTCTTACTACTATATTTAGCTAAATAAAAGATTACGCCTCAGAGATGACATTTCAGACTGAAAGCTAGCATGCAACCCACTCAAATTACTTCTCTTAGCAACAGAGCTGCCGCTAGGATTTGCCGGACCGCACAGTCTGTTCGAGCAGAGACAGAAACACTCCTGGTAGTGTTGTCGTCTGGGAGCAAGAATAAGGTGCCAGTTACTGAAGCACCAGATTATCAGACCTAAATTCATTTCAAAATGTAGAGGAGCAGGAAAAGAGACAGTCATGGATGACTGAAGTTTGGAGGAAACATATGCTTGCCCTGCTGATGGGGCTGGGGTACTAGGCTGACAAGCTGCTGCCCAGAGTCCGCCTGTGTGCTACAGATCCAGGTTTGAGGAAGTCAGTCTGGCACATCAGCAAGCTCAATGCAGCTAAACTCTCTATAACTGTGTAATTAATCCACGCAATGGTAATGAGCCACCAGCTAGTCCTAGTGTACTCTGCAAATCACGGCATCGCAGACTACACCAGGACTATGTACAGCACATCTAGACTAGAAGAGAATTATGGGAAACTTATGTTGAATTTCTTCAGTTTCTCATAAAATAATTTGTCACACATATTTCTGATCCACAACCAAATGGAAACATTTATTTCAGCATATACTAACTCGACCCAGCCTGGAGTGACATCACACCCTGGGGAGTGAGAACGCTCATGCTTCTTCCTCCGCAAACAGGGGACCCTGGTGAGCTATGAGCTACAGCAGTTCATTCTCCTTAACTTAACCACAACCAAACTAAGCCCCTGAGAATGCCCACTGGCTGCTCCAGCTGTGGTCAGAAAGGCATCACAAATGCTCCTCATGAGGCAGGTTGGTGTGGAAGCAGCAGCTTGCACTGTCAAACTTCACAGACCTGACAGAAGTGACTTAGCAGGCAAGCAAGGGAAACTCTCCAACTGTTTCAAACAAGGAGTCTTCTTCTGATTAGGTGAAGCACTGCAGCACTTAAGCAAGTTATTATGGAAGACACTTAGGTTGTCACAGGCTTGACAGGGAAAATGGGTTAGTTCAGGTGGGACTGGTTCATTAGAAACTGTTTAAATACTTCTAAAGCCACATGAGCTCCAAGCTTTGGGGCTGGCACAGAAGAGAAAATTGTGCATTCAACCATTAAGAACGGAAGATACAGATAAGGGTTTTGAAGCACGAGTTCTTACAGCAAACATTAAAAACCATTAAAGCAGACTGCAGTGTGCATCCTGAATTGACAAGCATTGGCACCAAGAAGGCTACACTGGTATGCAGTCTTAGGAGAATCTGTAGCTAATTGAGCAGAGAGGAGAACAGAAAAACTGCGGGTACCAGGGCATCAGTCTGTAGCTCAGGTTGTTCCCCCTCCAGTGACGTGGTTGTGACAGTGAGACTGACTGAAGGAGCAAGGCCTGATGTCTCGCACAACACTTGCTCAGTCTTTATTGCTGCTGGAGTAAGCTCTGTAGCCAGACACCATTCCTCATTTTCCAGGTCACCTGCCAGGGAAGGAAATTGGACACCACATGTTTAGGTCAGAGACAGAAAGACTACAAATGAAAATAATGACAGTCCTCCTCCAGAGAAGGGAAACAAACACAGAAGGCCACCAACAAAACTCTGCCCTTAGTATTCAGCTCTCAGTCAATGCAGACAACCATGCCATTTCAGGGCTGTAACCTAATCCTAGCCCCAGGATATGCAGAGGAGCAGCGAGGAGAGACACAGGACACTAATCACTGTACATTGCCGAAAGCTGCTTACACATAGGAGAACAAGACTAAACAAGCCATTTGGTAAAGCAGCCAGGGAGCTATGTCCTACACATGCTAATGCCTGCTGATTCAGTTTTATTCCTCCTTGTAGAGACAGCATTTAGCCAGTTCTGTTCCTTCTACTGCTTGCAATCATCAAATAGCTGGAGTGGTGATACTATACTTTTAAAACCAAGGGATTTTTCATACTTTTAACTTCAAAATTTTCTCCCAAGGATTCATTAAGAAAGTATAAAAGAGGACAAAGGCTTTGATGATCTCACAGGAGCACCAATGCTGTGGTGATCATGCTAATTTCCTCCCCTGAGCCTCTGGAAGTCACAGCATGGGATGCGTATTTTGACTGGCAGCAATGAAACGTGCATCATGCATTGGCAGAACTGTCCCTTAGCTCCACTTACTGCAAGCTTACTACTCAGGAGGAAGTCAGACAACTCTCTCCTGAACAAAGCTGAAAGGTTTGCCCTGCCCTGTCAAGAACTGGAATATAGCTGGCATGGTAAGTTGGTAGTTTCCACTCATGAAGCAGCTGCTGTCTGGCTTGCTGAGAAGGAACTTACTATCCCAGGTCTAAAATATGATAGAAGAGGAACTTGGAAGATCTCAACTTTTAAAACACTCCTACAAGGCTATTAACAACCCCACTTAAAAAAGATTAAAAAAAACAAATGCATTTTTGGCAACTGTAATTCTGACTTAAAATTATTCCCATCCCTACTGCCAGACTTCAGTCATATAAATTATTTTCTCTTGCAGAAGAGTACCCTATACCAGCTGTACTGCATCCCAAGAGCACCCAGCACAGTCCTCTGCTACAGTTAGTCAGTAGTTGTGGGAGCTCATTAAATTGAGCAGCTGGAATCTGCGGCCAAATATACACAAGAGATAAGAGTGCTGATCTTTTTTCTTTCAAAGCTTTATTCTGCTTTCAAACAGAGTATTTACTGCATATATGGCATTAAAGCAGAGAGCAAACATGTACACCTTAGAGCTTTGAATTAACCTCATGCTGCATCCACACTGTGGGAGACAGCCACAGTGCTGTGGCTGTGCCACCAGCAGTCTGCAAGGCTGACACAAGACCCTTCCTTACACATCTAAGCCTATGAAGCTGGTGAGATGTCGGCAGAGTTCAGCTGCAAACAGGTAACAAAAATAAAAGCAGGCTTACACCCTCCAAGCTGTTAACACCACACACATATACGGCACACAGGCACTGGGCAGAAGCTGGGTGACTGGAAGAAGGGAGAAGCATGTACATCTCCAGTGCTAGTAATTACTCTGTGGTGGGACCGAACCTCCACCACTGGCAAGGAAGGAGGTAATTTGAGTAAAGACACACCAAGGAATTAAAATGAAAAAATATGTATCCTGTAATCAGAAGCTCAAGAACAGTGAGCCCAGCTCTGCCAAAAGAAGTAACTCTACAGCAAGGGCCAAACACCGTATTTAAGTTTCTGAAGAGCTTACTCCCAAAGCTTTCTGGGAAATGCAGATATATAAAAATAGAAGTATTTATGAAAAAAAGAGGTAGCATTGTCTAAATATTAACTCAGGAGAGAGGACATTGCTCTCCTTCAACCCTCCCTGAGCCTCTCTACTCACAAACAGGAGACCGCAGGTCACTCCCTGCTGACTGCAATGAAATATTCAGTGGATCTGTGGACTACCTGTACCTCGCTGTGTGAGGATCGTTCAGGTAAATGCTTTAAAGTGGTATCTTTGCCTGGAAATCCAGAATGCCTTGGCAAGTGCAACTTTAAAACACTTGTTTGGATAACTTCTGCCAAGATCTCCCCCACATCATGTTGTGCAGAGCCTCCGCTTGCTTTCTCTTGTACCTCTGGGGCAAGCTACACATGGCAATGCGATCATCTGTAATCTACTGTAGATGCCTTTTGGGAAGGAAGGTTACAGATAAATGAGAGCTATCAGCAAAGCAAGTAATTAGCCCTGATTTGTATCATCATGCAAGTAGAAGAGAAACCTAGCCATGGATGCCCAGCGAAACAGGGCATGTCCTCTAAGGCTGCACTTTGTGATGTTTCTCACCTCTAACTCAGACTCATCACGAGGAGTCAGCTGCTGTAAAACTGTAAGATATGCAGGCCTTCAGCTGACCATTTTAGTCCTCTGAAATCTGACTTTGCTGATTAACTTGACATCCCTGCCATCACCACTTAGATCTGCACAAACTGCTTGGAGTTATTCTAGGCTTGAAATCCAGTCTAACCAGTTTGTAAGGTTATGGACGGCTTTCAGCGACAGCAACACACTGCATTTAACACCAAAATAATTTTGAAGAACTGCATCTAACACTTCTTTGACACTGCCTGTTATGATGCATTGTGACAGATTTCATTCCAAATGAATAACCCTGCAAAAGGTAGGGATGAAGCAATATACTGCTGGAATCCCACCTTGACACTCTCCCCCTTCCTACTTTTTCTCTTCTCTGCTCTAAGACAGCTACCAGGACATTTCCCACTCTCCTTCCTTTTCTTCATGAGCACAGCACATTGACATTATTTGTAAATCATTCTTAGTTTACTCTTCTAGGACCTTAGTCTACTCTGCCAAAACCAGACAAATTTAGGCAAATGGGAAAAATTGAGCGGGCTATAGAATACTGGTCATACTGAGAGGCACAGCATACCCTTTCCAAGACAAGAGTCAGATGGAGGCGTATGGGGAACCATCAGAGAGGTTTCATGGAATAAAGAGGCCAAGCAAGAAGGTGCTCATGAAATACTGAAATGAAAGGACAGAGGCTGGCTCAAGGGACCCACTGAAGGAAAAAAGAAAGACATGGTATGGAAAGAGTAGATTACTGGTGTTGACGAATTACAGGTGTTTATGCTTGACATGATCCTGAACTGTTAAGACTGTCCAAAACAAAAAACAGAGAAAATTATCTTGGTGACAGTGTTCTAGACAGATATGAATAGAGCAACACTGCATTGCTAAGATGAGGCAAAAAATGCCTGCAAACCATTCAGATACTACATTTCTTCAGGGGGAAGAAAGCCTAACCATGAGATTTATTTAGCTATTCAAACGGCCAGGAAAATCCACATCCTAAAGGTGGCCACTTTGGCTGGTAAAAATCTCTTCTCAGGCTTCAAAACACTGATCCCAAAGTTCATTGTTGAACAAGCGATGCAGGCTGCTAGTCCCCATTCCTAGCTGAAACTTCCCATGAACTTCAGAGCTCTATCATGCACTGACTGTTTAGAGGAGAATTCTCCTCTTTTATCCTTCCACGAGTCCATGAATGGTAGGCATTCTGGCACACAAAATATGACATTTAAGGAGTCTACACAGTACTTACCAAAATCTCAGCTACCATTTCTCTGTGCAATAATTTAACTAGAACTGATAAATTTCACATACAAACTATGTTAACTGAACATTAACGTTGCAAAGCACCCAGGTATTAAGAAATTCTTATGAAGGTTTAATTCAGTATACTTTTGCACATTATATATATCTAAAAATAGGAATGTTTTAACAACATGATCAAACAGTTTCTCTACAGAATCTGTGCTTTACCCAACAAGATGAACGCATGGTGCTCCCCTAACTGGGGAGTTATTCCATGCTTTGTTATTCTCACAGTCTCACGCACAGCCTCATCCCTCCTTTACCCAATACAATTCAAATTCTCTTCCCACAGGGATGTTTAATTCCCTTCTAGGGAGATGCTTCACAAACCTGAATTAATTTCCACAGAGGTCCTGAAAATTCAAGTAAACCATGGAGAAATTTAGGCCAAAAAGTATCTAGTAATTTAAAATGGCTAACTGGAGATAACTGGAATTGGATTTTTCAAACGGTTTAGTACTGTTGTTATACTTTATCAAAATACAGCATGCATCAAATTTTCAGGCGTGGCTGGAAGTTAAACATCAGAGTTTCAAACCAAGCATCCAGACAACCCATTCATCACAGCAACCCAGGGTGACACATGCATTTAAGATCTTGTCTTCTGTGTCTGTGCCTAAGATTACATTCCTTCAGAAAGCTTGTGTGCCGCTTCCATTACCAAGATCATCCCACTTTTCCTGTAGACTCACATTTAGTATGCATCTGCCACTTTAAAAACAACAACAACAACAAAATGTAGGAGCTTTACAAAGTGACAAAATAAGTGCAATCAGTGAACTGAGGCAATGTTAACACTGATAGGAAAAGCTTTAAACATGTCCTTTCACATCTCCACTCCTTGCAAGTCCAGCTTGGTCCCAGATACAACATGCAGTATGCTCTAAAATGCTGTGTATGAGATAATGCAAGAGGGGAAGCTCAAAATAGGACATAATTACCTCAGAACTGTAAGTGCAAGCACTGCACGTTGTGGTTATCTACAGCAAGGTGCCCAAGTACCAAACTCCTGTCCTCTGTTTTTATTTACTAATCCTGCTGTAGGTTCCACCATCTGCTGTTAAGATAGGCAATGCTAGTAGGATCTACTCAATATACCACAAGTTGACTTTCCCTTTTCTCTTCTCTTTCTCCAGATCACTAAACCCAAAAGGGAAAAGGCTATGCAACATTCTGCACAATGAAAACTTAAGATCTTTAAAGTCCATTATGAAGGCTGAGTTATACACCTGGATTTGGGTGCACAACACACCCAAGTCAACTTCTTTCTATGCTGCACACCATATACATTATAATGATAGTTTTCAGCAGACATGGATTTCAGTGCTCCTCTATGCATC